GCGCCGCGACCGCGCCGCGGCGCCCGCCGCCGCGTCCGCGCGCCGCTCCGCGTCGGCCGCGCGCGTCTCCGCGTCGCCGCGCGCGTCGTCGGCCGCGCGCGCCGCCGCCGCGAGGCGCGCGAGCTCGGCCTCGAGCTCGGCCGCGCGCCGCCGCTGGCGCCGCGCCTCCTCGAACTGGACCGTGGCCGCCGACGCGCGCACGTCGCCGTAGGCCGGCGGCGCGTCGAAGGACGGCGCCGCGTGGGGCGACGAGGCGCCGCCGTCGTCCGCGAAGTCGCCGCCGACGCCGCGGAGCGCGTCCTCGACGAGCGCCGCGACGTCGTCGGTCGCCGAGGCCGCGGCGCCGCCGACGGGCGCGCCGTCGACGACGGCGGCGGCGGGCAGCAGCGCGGCCCAGTCGACGGCGCCGAGCGAGCAGCCCTCGACGCGCACGTCCGAGAGCCCGTCGCACGACCGGAGCGGCGCGGCGTCGCGCAGCGGCGCGTTCTCGCGCACGTCGAGGAGCTCGAGGCGCGGCGCGAGCTGCGCGAGGCCGCGCAGCGACGCGAGCTCGTTGCGCGCGGCGACGAGGCACGTGAGCGCGGGGAGCGCGGCGCCGCCGCCGTCGATTGTCTCGAGGCCGTTCGCGGAGACGTCGAGGAACGTGAGCCGCGGCAGGAGCAGCGCCTCGGGGAAGAGCGCGCCGCCCAGCGACGGGCCCAGCGCGTTCGACGCGAGCACGAGCTCGCGCAGGCGCCGCAGCGGCGGCAGGCCCTCGAGGCCCTCGAGGCCGCAGCCGAAGAGCGTGAGCTTCGTGAGCGCGTCCTCCTTCTGCTCGAGCTCCTCGACGACCGCCGGCGAGTCGACGAGGTGCGCGACGCCGAGGCCGTAGTAGGCGGTCATGAACTAGTAGGCGGTCATCAGTTTTGAACTGGGACCATGCTCTCCCTGTTGTCGCCGGGCGCTTTGCGGCGCACGCCTGCGCCACTCGCGGCGCTGCCCTTGACGCGTTAGCAGCCGCTCGGGCGCCCAGCGAACCGCCCTCCAGCTCCTGCCAGAGCTTCCCCTCGGAGTCGGTTTCGGAAAGGCCGCCGCGGCCGCGCGGCGCGCTCGAACTCGCCAGAGCGCCGAAGCGACGCGCTCGTCGGAGAAGGCCGTGTGGAAGCCAGGCGACAGCGGATCGTGACGCGGGGCCGCGCAGCGGGCGCCGCGACCCGCGAGACCGGCAAGAAGACGCCTAAGAAGGCATGTTGCACACGATGGCGAAGGCAACAATACGAGCGATCGCGCTTGCCGGCCGCGCGTCCGATCGTAATCGCCCGCTGCGAGAAGCCAGTGCGCGAGCAACAGTGCACGGCCGCGACGCGTGCAGCGTCGTCGTCGTACTGTGCGCTTGCATCTCGGCGTTTGCGCGCTTGTCTCGTGGCGTAGGCGAATCGCTCTTTGACGGCGAGGCGAAATCGCCGATTCTCGAACCTGCATGTCGTGCGTGTGAGCTCGCGCCGTTGCAGCGTTTCGAGAGCCGCGACCCGAGCGGCACCCACCCGGACGGCACCATGGACATGCTCCTGCGCGCGGCGCAGCAATCGCCGTCCTCCAACTGGTGCGCGGCCGAGCGCGTTTCCGGCGTTTCTCATCGCCGCGCGCGCCGCCGCGCGCGCGGCCCGCCGCGGCGCCGGCGCCGCGGCGCCGCCGGCGCCGCCGCGATCCGCGCGCGCGCGCACCCGCGAGAGCAGCGAAAGCGCCGCGACCCGCGCGCGCGCCGCCGAAGCCGCGCGCGCGCGCGTTCGAACGGCGCGGGGACCGGCGCCGCGCGTTTTTAGGTCGGCGGCGCAGGGCCTGGCGTCCATGGCCGTGGCGCTGCCCGTGCTCTCGCCCGGCGAGGCGAAGCTCGAGGGGTCGCGGCCGCGCGACGTGCCGCCGCGGCGGAGCTCGCGGCGGAAGCGGCTCAACGGCGACAGCAACAGCGAGGAGCTGAGCGAGGAGTCGCAGGACGGCATGACGCTGAGCGACGACGGCGTCGAGGTGAACATGGTGAGCCCGTCCATCGGCAGCGCGCCGGGCGCGACGACACCGCTCGCGGTGCTCGACGGTTTGGGCGGCCGCGACGGCGGCTTCCGCACCGTCGACGGGTTGAGCCTGCTGTCGCAGTCGGCGCCGGCCCACGCGTCCATGTTCCTCCGGCGGCCCTTCGGGGCCGCGTCGCCGCCGACGATCAAGGAGCGCGCGCGGTCCGTGGAGTTCGGCGTGGGTTTCATGGACCTCGACGAGGCGCCGAGGCCGCCGCCGCCGAAGCAGCAGCGGCCCGCGGGGCCGCCGGACCCCGTGGAGAACGCGGGGCGGAGCACGTTGGTCGACGGCGTGCCCCAGCCGCTGAGCCTGGACCAGCCCGCGCGGCCGCTCCTCTACGAAGACCTCATCAACTTCCCCCGGAGCCGCGGCAAGGCGCACGCGCGCCGCTGCGTCATGTGCGGCCACCTGGCCTCGGGCGAGGACGCGACCTGCTCCATCCCGCTCCAGAACAAGGACGTCTGCAAGCGCTGCGACACGGGTGCGTTCGTCTCTTTTCCGTCGGGACGTTCCCCGCGCAGGCATCTGGCACCACACGGCGACGCTCGAGTACTTCAAGTGGTGCAAAGGCTGCAAGAAGTTCCTTCACGTCTGCGCCTTCAAGGTTCGTCGTTTTTTTCTGGACGCTTGGTTTTTACCCCTTCTTTTTTTCGTAGGAAAAGCTCGCCAAGTGCACCACGAAATACTCGAAGCAGCCGTCCAAGTGCGACCGCTGCCGCGAGCGCGGCCGCCAGAGCTACATGTCCAAGCGGATGGAGGCCGAGCCCCCGCAGCCCCCAATGTGAGTCAAATGAGTTCCGGCCGGCCGCGCCCGCGCGTTTCGCGCGCGGGTGCCCGCGCGCGCTTGCGCGCCGGCCCGAGCGCCTCTGTGCGCCCGGCACTCGGCCGCGTAAACGCTGATTACGCGGTATTTGACTGGATTTTTGGGCTTGTCGTTGCTGGGGATGCGGTGACGGACGTCGTCGCGGACAGGCTCGACGAGGCCTTCGACGCAAGACGGCCGACCCCCGGCAAGGATCGCGAGCTTGCCTCGAGGATTTGGTCGGCTGGCTCAAGGCATGGTCCGGCGTCCGGCGAATTGGCCGCCGCAACGCGCGCCACCAACCCCTTTCTCCTCGTAGGTTATCATGGCTGTTCTCAAACTCGCATTGCTCGCCGCCGGCGCGTCGGCGTTCGTCGCGCCGACGCCGAAGACGTCGATGATGGCGCTCAAGGCCGACGCCGTCGTCGAGGCGGCGGCGCCGGAGCCGGCGGCGCCCGCGGCGGCGCCCGCGGCCGCGATGACCTTCGGCAAGATGCTCGGCGACGAGCAGTTCGACTACTCGTCCATCGTCGGCGGCGCGCGCCCGCGTCCGAGCCGGCCCCCGGCTCCGATTTCCGCGCGGATCCGCCGCGCGCGGCGCCCCGGCGCGCGCCGCGCGCCGCGCGACCCACCCCCGCCGCGCGCGACGCCGACCCGCCCCCCCCGTCGCAGCCGAGGGCGGCCTGGGCGTGCCGTACGCGTTCGACCCGATGAACTTTGCGGGCAAGTACCCGGGCATGGTGCCGTGGTTCCGCGAGGCCGAGCTCAAGCACGGCCGCATGTGCATGCTCGCGTCCATCGGCATGGTCGTGCCCGCGATCGTCCGCGTGCCCGGCGAGCAGTTCCAGGGCACCTACACGGGCTGGGAGGCGCACGACCGCCTCGTCGCGTCGGGCAGCCTCGGCCAGATCCTCCTCTTCGTCGGCCTCGCGGAGACGCTCGGCGGCATCCCCGCCGTCGTCGCGACGATGAAGGGCGAGCGCGCCCCGGGCGACTTCGAGTTCGGCGCGACGTTCAAGCCGACGGACGAGAAGGAGCTCAAGCGGAAGCAGCTCGCGGAGCTCAAGAACGGCCGCCTCGCCATGCTCGCCTTCAGCGGCCAGGTCACGCAGGCCGTCCTCACGGGCCACGACGCGCCCTTCCTCTGGTAGGCGGCGGACGAGAGGCGGGCGCCGCCGCGGCGGCGCGGCGCCCGGCCCGCGGGGCCCGCGCGGGCGGCGCGGGCGCGCACACCACCCTCGGCTAAACTGTTCTAGCTCGCGTCGCCTTGAAAGTGGGGGCGTCGGTCCCGAACTAACATATCCTCCGCGGACACTCTCCCGGGCCGGGGCGCCTTGGAATGCCGCACTCTTGCTCACGCGTGGGCGGCTATCATATCAAAGCGCTTGCAGTAGCACTGGGGGTCGTCCTCGAGGTCCTCCGAGCAGAACGCGCCGTAGTGGGCGAGCGTCCCCTGCTCGTAGTCGACGACGATGATCTCGCCCGTCTTCACGCCCCCTTCTCCCCTCGTGATCCACGCGCCGCTCTCCGCCCGTTCGCCGCTGCAGCACAGGCACGAATAGACCGGGAGGCACATGCCCAGGAAGCAGCAAGGGAAACAGAGGCAAGTGTCGCTGTAGGCGAAGTTGTACGTGCAGACGGGGCCGGGCACGGCGCCGCAGGGGGTCACGGCGACGCAGTGGTGGCACCCCTCGAGGTGCAGGATGCTGGCTTGCTCCGGCGTCAAGCTCCTCCTCTAGTAGGCCAGCCCTCTCTCGAGTGGAGGGTCCCCCCTTTGCGGACGATGTCGTGGACCTTGGCCTGGATCTCGGCCGGCGTCGGGGCCTGGAAGACCAGCGTCCTCGGCGCGGAGCCGTCGTCGTTGATTTCGAGAACGCCCCGTTCGGCGAGTAGGGATTCGGCCGTCGTCTCCATGCCGTTGACGGTCTTTAGCACGTCGAGCGGCCGTACCTGTCCCCGGAGCGGCGACTTCCGCAGCACCTTTTCCACCGTCGTCCCGCGAAATTGGATGCCGATGGGGCCGGGCGGCACAACTACTTGAAGTACGCCGGGCTGCGTCGTGATCGGCGCCACGTGAGCGTCGGGCGTCGGCGGCGCCGGGCGCTCGACGACCACGACGAGCGGACCCGCCGGCGCCGCGGCGAGCGCGGCCGCCGCGTCTTCTTGGCCCGAGACCGGCAGTCCGTTGACGCTCACGACGCGGTCGCGGAGGCGCAGGCCCGCGGCCGCGCCGAGGCCGCCGGCGCGGACCTGGTGCACGAGCGGCGGACTGCCGACCAGCGAGACGCCGACCTTGGCGTCGGCCGCCGGCTTTTTCAGGGTGATCTCGAGGCTGCCCTGCACCAGCGTGGCGACGGCGATGGCGCCGGACTCGGGGACGACGGCCGCCATGATGTGTGTCAACCCTTACGACGATTCGAGTCGGCCTGCTGTACGAGCACGCCCCACGACGGCGGCGTCGAACGCTATTCGGAAGGCAGCGCGAGCATTGTAGTGTTAAGCCACTCGACGGCTGCTCAAAGCGGCAACTTTCGATGTTGACCAAGTTATTGAAGGGGGTGCGCACCCGAAGACCCCGCCCGGAGGCTCAGACGGAGGCGTAGCCGGGGGGTTGGCGTTCCCACACCGGCCCCTTCCTCCGACCCAAAGATCGCGCGTGCACTCGGATCGGAGGTGTGGCGGCGGTACACTCGCGCCAAGCCTGGCACCGACCGCCACGCCGAGAGCACGCCGGGATTGGCGCAAGGCAGTAGCATCCTGAGTCGCCTCATTCAGACGACACTCAACGGACTCTCCGTGGACCGCACCCGACGGGCAGGACGTCCGGCTCGACTAGGCCGATTCAACCTCAGGACCACAAGTGGCTAGCCGAGGGCACCGCCGAAGAGGACACCCGTAGTCAGCGGGACCGAAGAGAGCAAAGACGCCGACGCCGACGGAACCGCACAGAGCGCCACGCTACGAGGAGACGCTGCAGAATGCAGAGAAACGAATGGACACGGGCACATCGAAGCCCGCACACCGAAGCCACCGAGGGCGCCGACCCCACCAGCTCCCTCCGAGACTCACGTCGAAGGCATCCGAACGAAGCGAGCGCGCGCGGCAGCCCCCCGGGCCCATGGGCGACGTCGCGCCGATGGCCAAGCCCTGCAAGTCCTCGCGCTCGGCGCCCCGCTGCCCAATCGACGCGCGCAGCGGGGTGCTCCGCCCCGGGCGCCCACCGGAGCCGACGCGGCGGGCCCCACCACCGGCCGCTGCGCGAAACCACCTCCGCGCACCCCGGAGGACCGCCCCATAAGCTTCGGCGTTATCATGTTGAGTTGTTTTGCCGTTCTGATGTTGACTGTGCATCTTAACCTCGATTTGCCACAAGCATCAAAGCGCCCTCCGCACGCTGGCCGACGCCGAGCCGCCTGCGACGATGCGCCGGCGCGCGGCGGTGCTCGCCGTCGTGGCCGTCGGCGCCGCCATGGAGTGGAAGCCGAGCTTCTCCTTCCGCGACAGCGCCAAGTGGGTCGTGGACCGCGCGCCGGGCCGCTACGCCCAGGCGCTGCGGGACCTCGGCGCCTGCCTCCACTGCGACGGCTTCGAGGTGTCGCCGCGGCGCGTCGAGCTCGTCAACGCGACGCTGACGCTCAACGGCTCCGCGGCGCTCCGCGTCGGCGCGCTCGCGGTGACGTGCGGTCGTCGGCGTCGAGGTCGACACGCTCGAGGTCTTCGTCGAGGCCCACGACCTGCTGCTGCGGGACACGAACTGGCACCACTTCGACGAGCTCGAGGCGGCGCTCGCCGCGCTCGCGCCGTCCGGCGGCGGCGGCGCGTCGGGCGTCGAGCGGCTCGAGTTCGCGGGCGTCGCGCGCTGCGAGCTCACGCCGCCGCCGGCCCTCGGCGGCGCCGGGTCCCGGCTCGTGCTCACGCTCGACTGGGAGCGCGACTTCGCGGCGCTGTCCCGACGCGTCGCGGAGCTCGCGGCGGAGGGCGGCGGCGTGTCGCCCGAGGCGATCTTCGAGCTCTTCAAGGCCCAGATATTTACGCAGGCGCGAAAGGCCTTCGCCGACGCGCTCGAGCAGCGCGCGCGGGACCCGTCGAACTCGGCGATCTCGCTCGCCGGCGTCGACGTCGATCTGCTCCGGCCCCGGGCGTCGCTCGACGCGCTCCGCGACGCCGCGGTCGGGCGCGCGAAGAAGTGGTTCGCGGAGACGACGGGCGTCGGCGACGCCGACGTCGAGGCGGCCGTGCTGGGCCTGGCGGACGCGCTCCGCCGGAGCGCCGCGGAGGCCGCGACGGACGTCGTCCACGCCGCCGCGGAGGCCGCGACGGACGTCATCCACGCCGCGGCGGAGCTCGACGACCTCGCCGCGGAGGCGCTCCGCGAGATCGACGGCGCGTCCGAGGCCGCGCACCTCGCCGACGCCGTCGACGCGGAGATCGCCGCCGGCGTCGCCGACGCCGACCCGACGGAGTAACGCCGGCCTTTTTACGAGGAACGCCTCACTGGTCCGCCAGGTCGCCGGGGTTCGCGGCCTTGGCGAAGTCGTCGCCCGCGAGGGCCCGGAAGGCCCACTCGCGCGTGTCGGCGTCGCCCGGCGCGTGCGTGCGGACGTACTTGACGCACTCGAGGACGTGCGTGTGGTACTTGGTCACCGTCGGGCGGTGCGCGACGGAGACGAGCGTCGGCACGTTCGCCTGGAGGAGCTCGTAGAGCTTCTGCTCCGTGGCGACGTCCATGGACGACGTCGACTCGTCGAGGAAGACGAGGGCCGGCCGCTTGAGCAGGGCCCGGGCGATGCTCAGGCGCTGCTGCTCGCCGAGGCTCAGCCGCGTCGTCCAGTCGTCGACGGCGTCGAGCTCCGCCGCGAGGTGGCCGAGGTCGACGGCGTCGAGCGCGCTCGCGAGCGACGCGTCGGCCGCGGCCCGGGCCTTGTCCGAACCCGGCGCCGCCTCGAAGGTCGGGTAGGTGAGCTGGCGCCGCAGGCTCCCCGACGCCATGTAGGACCGCTGCGGCACGAAGACCGCGCGGCCCACCGGGGGCACGTCGATGTCGCCCGTCGCCGTCGTCCAGAGCCCCGCGACGACGCGCAGCAGGCTCGACTTGCCGCAGCCCGTGGGCCCGCGCAGGAGCAGGGCCTCGCCGCTGCGCACGGCCAAGGTGACGCCCGCCGCGAGCCGCTCGCCGCCGTCGGGCGTCGTCACGGCGACGTCCCGCAGCGCGAGAAGCACGTAGCCCGGCGGCACGGCCTCGCGCGGGGGCGCGTCCGCCCGCGCCTCCGGCAGCGCGATCTGGTTCCGCCGGAGCGTCTCCTTGGAGCGCTCGCGCGCGAGGTTCGCGTCGCGGATCGCGTCGCGCATCTCGGAGATGCGCGTCGCGCACACCGTGATCTGCGCGACGCCGCGCACGTTGTTCGCCAGGATCTGGAAGGCGCCGCGCACGACGCCGTACGCGATGAAGACCTGGGCGATGGCGCCGAACTCGATGTCGCCGCGGAAGTACTTTGGGGCGACGACGCACGCGGGGCCGATGCCCGACGACCAGTCCACGAGATTCCGGTAGGACGCCATGATGGCGCTCCAGACGTTCTTGCTGTGGCTCAACGCGATGGTCTCGTCGAGGTGCTTGAGGATCGTGCGCTTCTCGCGCTCCGTGCCCCGGTAGAGCACGATCTCCTCCGCGTACTGGCGCGCGCGGACGAGCGCGTGGCGCAGGTCCGCGTCCTTCGTCGCCTTCTTGGCGCCGAGGACCTGGAGCGGCGGGCCGAGCACGTAGCACATCATGAACGTGTCGAGCGTCGACGCGACGAGCGTGAGGTAGAGCACCTCGGGCATGATGCGGTAGAGGATGACGAGGAACGCGAGGCACTTGATCCACGCGAGGCTCGCGTCGATGACCATGCCCACGACGGCGTCGCTCAGCTGCTCCACGGCCGCCGTGACGCGCTCGTCCGGGTTGTCGACCTTGGACGCCTTGAGCCCGTAGAGCGCGTAGCCAAAGTACTCGCGGATCATCTCCGTCGCCAGGTGCTCGCGCCAGTCGATGCGCAGCGTGCCGCTGAGGTAGCCCACGGCGGCGCCGATGGCGACGAAGCAGACGACCAGGCGCGCGACCATCTGCATGGCGAGGTTGAACGTCGCCTCGTCCTTCTCCTGGAGCGCGGTGTCCATCCTGCTCCGCCAGTCGCTCAGAATCGTCAGCAGGTAGGTCTGGAGCACGCCGAGGAGGAGCACGGAGGCCGTCGTCGTCCAGGCCTGCCTGAACGTCGGGCTGCCCCGGCCCCAGTAGCCCCGGAGGAGCCTGCGCCGGGCGCGCGCGCGTCTCCCGCGAGGCGCGCGCGCGCGGACGGACGAGCGACTCGATCGAACCCGTGTGATTCCGGCCCGGGGCGGCGCGGGCCGAGCGTCTCCGCGAACTGCGCGAGCATCGACCGGTCGGATCCGCAGATCCTCGCGCCCGCGCCCGCGGCGCCGAGCGTCTCCTCCTCGGGCGTGCGGAAGGCGCCGCCGCCGGCCGCCGGCGACGGGCTCCCCTTGGCCTTGGACGGCGACGGCGGCGCCCGGGCCTCGGCGGGCAGACCCGACGCCGTCGGCGACTTGCGCCGCGACCGCGGCGACCGCGGCGACCGCGGCGACCCGGCGATCTCGATGAGCTCCGCGTCGGCGTCGACGCGCAGCTGCTCGTAGCGCGGGCCCTTGAAGGGATTCCCCACGGGCATGGCGTGCCGCCGCGCCATGACGACGGCCTTTCTGAGGCTGCCCGCTCGATCGATGGCTGGGGAGAATGCACCTCGCTTTTTTTTTTTTCTTGCTTGTGGCAACTCTTGCCAGTGGCCTCGACGCCAAGCACCGCGTAAAGCGACGCCAGCGGCGCCGCCGACGACGAGAACCATGCGCCGCGAGGACTCCTTCGACGTCGCCTGCGCGCACTACCGGTCGGCGCCGGAGCTCTTCAACGACGAGGAGCGCCTGCACCTCTACGCGCTCTACAAGCAGGCGACGGCGGGCCGGGCGCCGGGCCACAACGCGGCCGTGCCGCGCATGGCGCTCCTGCGGTCCGCGGAGCTCGCGGCCTGGCGCCAGCTGCGCGACACGCCGCAGCCGGCCGCGCGGCGCGAATACGTCGAAGCCGTCGAGGCCGTCGAGCGCGTCGGCCCGCTCGCCGCGCCCGCGCCGCGCGACCCGGAGCGGCCGCGGCGGCGGCGCGCGTCCTTCGGCCACCTGCGGGCCCTGGGCTGGCGCCAGGACGCCCAGCTGCTGTCGGCGCCGGCGTCGACGTTCGCCGAAACAACGAGAGGACGCCCGTCGCCCCCGGTAGGTCGGCGCCGCTCGAGGGCGCGAGCCGCGAGGAGCTGGTGGACTTGGTGTCCGCGCTGCGCGACAAGGTGACGACGCTGCGCGTGGGCCAGGTCATGAAGGCCGGCGAGCTCGCGCGCTACCGCGAGACGATGACGGGCGGCGACTGGTCCTTCCGCTACTTCCAGGGCAGCAAAAGAGAGCGAAATTCCCAACTTCAAAGGCTCCTATCTCGGCCGTTTTCCACTCGTTTCGGCTGATTTTTGGACGAGCGATCATCTCTCGGAACGGTCTCGAAGCGTGGATGCTTTTTCCGGAACGCGCGCGCGCGGAACACTCACGTTGAAGCGACGTTGAATCACCCTTTTGCTGCCCAGGCTACTTCGAGGTCGTGCCGGGCATGCTCCGGTGCTACCGGTCGAAGACGATCCGGGACCTGCGGCTCGAGGTGCCGCTCACCGCGGGCGTCGCGGTCTTCCCCGAGGCGGTGAAGCTCACGCGGCGCAGCGGCGCGCGCTTCGTCTTCCGCGTCCGGCTCGCGGAGCCCATCGCCTGCGCGTCGCGCATCGTCGAGGTCCGCTGCTCCGCGGCGTCCAAGGAGGAGCTCGACGACTGGATCGCGGCGCTCGAGGCGTCCAAGGCCATGGGCGGCGGCGTCGACGAGGACTTCGAGGAGGAGGGGCCGTCCGCGGCCGCGGCCGCGCCCGCGGCGCCCGCGCCGTCGTCGGAGCCGCCGCGGTCCGAGGCGCGCGACGCGACGAGCCGGAGGCTCTTGAGCCGGACCGTGCACCGCCGGTCCCGGGCCGGCGTCTTCCCGCGGGGGGGGGGCTTTGGACGCTCCGAGAGACGGAGCCGAGAGACGCGCCGCGAGAGAGCCCCTTCCGCGCCGAGAGACGCGTCGAGACGCGTCGCTCGTCCCAAAAACAACGTCGGGAACGCGTCCCAGGTCGCGGCCGAGCCTCCTGTCGACGGACTCGGCGGAGGCGCAGTCCTACGGCGGCTTCGTGAACCTCGTGGCCATCGTCGCCATCGTCAGCAACGCGCGGGCCCTGCTCAACGAGTGGCGCGACATCCCCCTCGTGGCCGCGGCGTCCGACTGGTACCGCGGCGCCGGCGGCACCGCGGTCTCCGCGCGCGACCTGACGCTGGACCTGCTCTTCCCGGCGGAGGCCTGCTGGTCGCTGGGCGCCGTCGTCGCCTGCGCGGCGGCGCTGCTCCTCGTGGAGCGCGTCGCGGCCCAGGTCCACCGCTACGACGCCCTCTGGCACGGCCTGCGGGCGGCCTGCGTCGTCGCCACGCTCGCGCTGCCGCTCTACTGCGTCTCGCTCGCGCCCGTGCGGCCGGGCACGCACGCGGCGATCCTCCTCAACGGCTGCGTGGCGATGATGAAGATGCTCTCCTACGCGCACACGAACGCGGAGCTGCGGCGGCGCTACGCGGCGCGCGCGCGCGCGGCGAGCGCGCGGCGGCGTCGAGCGACGGGCGCCACTTCGTCGTTCGGGCCGCGGCGCGCCTCGATCGACCGCGTCGGCTGCTCGGACCATCTCGCCGCGTCGTAGGCCCGCGCCGCGTCGGCTCCATGGACGCGCTCACGCGCGGCGCGTCCTTCGGGGACCTCGGCGGCGACGTCGTCTTCCCGGAGACGCCCAAGGACCCGCGGTCGCCGCCGACGTTCGTTCTCGCGGCGTCCTCGTGTTCCTCCCCCGATCCTTCCGCCTCCCTACGCCCGAGGAACCCCGTTGCCCCACACTCCATACTCCCGGAAATCCGAGGGCATCGGGCGACTCCGGAAACGCGAGGGACTCCGACCCCGTCGCCGCGTTCGCGACTCCCGAACCCGCAGGCCCCACGGCGTCTTCGTGTCCAACGAGTACCCGGCGAACCTCACGGCCGGCGACCTCGCGCGCTTCTTCGCCTTCCCGACGCTCGTACGAATCCCCAGCGTCGTTTTTTTCTCTCCCCGAAATCGGCCGCCTCCGCTAGGTCTACCAGACGGAGTACCCGCGGACGCCGCGCGTGCGGCGGCGCTGGCTCCTGAAGCGCTTCGCGGAGCTCGCCGTCGTGCTGTCGGCGATGCTCCTGCTCGTGACGCAGTTCGTGGCGCCGACGGTGCGGGGCACGCTCGAGCCCTTCGAGCGTTTGGACGTCGCGTCGCTCGTCGAGCGGCTCATGGCGCTCGCGATCCCGACGCTCTTCGTGTGGATCCTCATGTTCGTCGCGTTGTTCGAGCTCTGGCTGTCCATCGTTGCGGAGGTGACGCGCTTCGGCGACCGGCTCTTCTACCGGGACTGGTGGAACGCGCGCAAGTTCGACGACTACTGGCGGCTCTGGAACCTGCCCGTGCACAACTGGCTCGTGCGCCACGTCTTCTTCCCCTGCCTGAACCTGGGCCTGAACAAGACCGCGGCGACGGCCGTCGTCTTCTTCATCTCCGCGGCGCTCCACGAGCTCCTCGTGTCCGCGCCGTGCCACCTGCTCCGGCTCTACGCGTTCGCGGGCATGATGACGCAGGTGCCGCTCATCGCGCTGACGAACGCCATCAACGAGCGCCTCCCGTCGTCGCGCGCGGGCAACGTCCTCTTCTGGCTCGTCTTCTGCGTCGTCGGCCAGCCCATGTGCCTGGTGCTCTACTTCCACGACACGGTGTCGGAGAGCGGCGCGCCGGCTGTCGCGGGCGCGGCGGCGGGGCTGCGGGGGGAGCTGTGAGAGTCGCGGGTAAGGCGTGGCGCGCTGCGAAATTCGGGGGAAACCCGTGGGCTGCGGTATCTGTCGCATTCGATGCGCTGCGGGCGCCGAACCCTGCGAGGCCCGCGCAGCGCCCCCGGCGGCCCAGCGCGACATCGACGCGTTTGGCCGGGGCTCCCAAAACTTGAGGAAATAGATCGACCTCCCGCTGCTCACCCAGGTGCTTGTCCAGCGTCGCTATCGGGGGTGTAACGCGCGCGGAGCCCTTCAGAGAGGGTCGTGCAGTCTCGAGAGGGTCCTGCGGAAGCTGCGACGCGCAAAAATAATCGAGGGAGGGGATTTGCGGCTCGCGCGCCGCCAATCTTGGCCATGGCCTCGATCTGGTGCGCGCGGACCTCGCGGACTGCTTCCGCGGTGGCCCAAGGCCGCGCAGTTCCCTCTCGCGGCCCGCCTCGACGGCCGACGACTTCTCGAGAGGGTTGTGCGGACGCTCTGGTGGCGCGCGGTCGTGGGTCGGGCGATCCGCGGGACGCTCGCCGCCGACCGTGGCCGTGGCCTCGATCTGGCGCGTGCGGACCGCGAGGTCGGCGGTTCACGTCCGCGGTGGCCCGGAGCCGCTGCCGCCCGCACGCGGCCCGTTCGATCGCCGCCCCTCTCACTCGAACGAAGTCGACGACTTTTTTAACGAGCTGCTCCCCGCCGCAGGCGAACATGAAGGTTCTCGTCGCCCTCGCCTCGCTCTCGCACGTCGCCGGCTTCGCGCCGGTCGCGCCGGCCGCCGCGACGACGGCGCTCAACGCCGAGATGTCGAAGGCCTTGCCATTCCTGATGCAGCCGAAAGGCCTCTCCGGCTACGTCGGCGCGGAGGCCGGTTTCGATCCGCTCGGCTTCGCCGAGATCATGTCGCCGTCTGCGTCACGTGAGTTTCCACGCGCGCGCCCTGACCGCGCGCCACCTCAGGGACATCAAGTGGATGCGCGAGGCCGAGATCAAGCACGGCCGCGTGGCCATGCTCGCCACGATCGGCTACACGTACCCCGAGGCGCCCTGGGCGGTCCAGGCGTTCCCCGGCGACGCCTACAGCCACG